GGGATGACGTCATCTGTAAAATTTACAAAAGTTTTTTTAATTTTATAAAATAAGGTATTATACTCCTGCATTTGTGGTGTATGAACCCCTGTTGAGTTAGGTCGTTAGGTAATCGTTAAGGCAGTCGTTATCCTTTATTCCCTTCGAAAAAATTGGAATATGCGGAATATTATGGCTCTATACGTGTGGTTTATCAACTCATAATTTTTACTTAGACAAATTTTCCCGAAAATTTGGGAACACAGTACTGCTATTGTTAGCATTGGTGTAAAATCGCTTTTGAAACCTAGGGATTTTACATGTAAAAACAGAAATTTGAAAATATTGGCTCTCCTAACTAGAGAAGAAAACACTATATCCAAATCATTTATTTATTTATTTTGTAACACCTTGTGGTATTTAAATAAAAAGAGAAAAGATATCGCCAGTTTGAATTAGGCAACCAGCAATATCTTCCTAAAGTCTACCTGAGATAGACGGGAATTGGGTCATAAAACCATCATAAGGTGATACTGAAAAGAATTGATAATTTATGACAAGCTGCCGAGAACAGACCTTCAACGCAGAATAATCATTTTCCCTATTCTTTTGAAATATTAGATTTATGTATTATTATTAATGTTAATAATACCTATTATATTTGTTATGTTATTTTATATTTATTATATTATTAAATTTAGGTTAAAATAAATCTGTTGATTATATTTTGTAAGTGTAATTAATTTGTCCTGTAAATAGAATTATTTTGTTGGGCAAATAAATCTTTATTTATTTATTTATATTTAATTAAATATTAAACTATGCAAATTGTTGCGGTGTGTACTGAATTATATAAAAAAGGACACATCAGTGTATCTGTATTCAATAAACAAAGGAAAATTTTACTAAATGAAGCAATTCTAAAAATGGTCTACTTTTGAAGACCGCGTTATCCAACTCGTCAAATATTATTGTTTTATTATTAGCATTTTATTAAGAAAAACATAAATAAACAGATATTTAATATTTTTCTCTTGTCAATATGTGTAGCTCTAATTGTCTTTTTTTTTTAGTATACTCTTCCGTTGGTAGCTAAATATATCTTTCATAAATAATTTTTTTATACTTATTGCCAGAAATTCTTCAGAAGATTCACTAATAAACTATTTGCCAAAGAAATATCTATGAAGTAATTGTCGAAGGTTACTATGGCATGTAAAAGTTTTGTCGGTACGCAGCAGCGAGTGATGTCAGACTGCTCCGCCTCCTCACTGCAGCTTTCGATAATCTCTAAACACTTAGATAGAATAAAGTGGACAAACGTGCAAATTCGAATGCTCTTAATTCTTGAAAACGTTTTAAGTTTATCGTAAGCATGATGACCTCATCACCAAATTTTGCCGAATAAATGTTATTTAAATTAAAATAACTTAAAATCGTATAAAAATATTTAGACTCATGCCATTCAATTGTGGTCTACGACTTTGTAATCAGTTTTTACCCCTGCCATCCAGATTTTTGAAAAGAAAATCATAGCAACATTTTCCGATTTAACTTTAAAATTGCAGAACTGTATGCTCTAGAATTTTACAAATGTTTTAATGCAATCAGAAACCTGGTAAATTGCAAAATTTTAATAATAAAAAATCCTATTCGTCGATTAAACAAACTTGTGCTCCTAGTGGCAAGACTCGGAACTACCCACATAAATCGTGTCGAATTCGCACCCATTTTTGCAAAAATTGTTCGTTTTTGTTAAAAATTTTGCTAAGGATTATATCACTAATTTTCCACTACTACTCCTGTTTAAATCATTCGACGTATTTTGAATTAATTTAAAGTATATTTTGATTTTAATAAAGACATTGTTTTACAGGTTAAAAATAAGGGGACTTCTGTCTAAAAATATACTTTTGTTTTTTTCTTCTTCGTTTTCAATGATCGACGGTGTAAAAAAAAAACAAAAAATAAACTCTTAAATATTTACTTGTTATTTCGAAAGTGGACCCAACCATTTTCGCTATAATATAATAGCAATAATTTGACTATTTTTAATATGTACCTATGCAGGTAGACATTGTGTTAACAAAGTAAATAATAAAACTCGACTTTCTGTTTATTGAAAGTCACAAGTCACCAATAAACCGTTTACTATCATGGTAATGATAATTTATTGTTCGATGGCTTTTCCGAACGGAACAAAGGTTCTATTAATCAGATGTGCATGAATACATACATACATAATGGATGGTCAACAGCGTCCTTTCGGACAAGCAACCCAAAGCAGCCGAAGCGTTGTAAACCATTGCTATTATAATCCTGAGCAGTTTATTTTTATTGCCGGTTTCTAATAAATAAGTATGTACTGTTGGAAATATGTAGATATATAGTCAGTGTTCACGATTTGGCAGACTCTACTTTAACAACCGCCACCTAATTTGCATACTTTCCTCATTTGTCTTGGTAGAGCTTTAAAATGTCATTAATCTCTCAACACTGGATCGTCCGTTTTCCTACTGCATTAAAAGCTTCCCGTACAAAAAGAATGTTGGTTGCCTACATGTACAAAAAACGCTATATGTAAATTATGCTTCAATTAAAAAGTCGATAAAAGAACAACTACCAATTCCCTGAAGGCAATAACATTCTCTAAAATATAAATTGGTTTTGGCGGCAAAATACGTTTCGAGCGAGCAATATAATTTGTAATCGAGTCATTTGTTGATTTTCATTTGTTTCGGAAAAGTCACGTCGATGATTGATCCACATAGTACATAACTTCAAATAAATTAAATTGACAGATGGAAAGAAAAAAATGGCGTGAACTCAGAACTGAATTTGAATAATGAATGATTAACCATTTAAATGTTCAGATTTTTGATTTAGTAAAACTCATCTTTTTTTTTGAACGTATCCTGAAATATGGGGGCGAATTCGGTGAATATAATTCCACAAAAACAGACCACAGTAAAGGAATCCACCTTTAAATCGATGATGGTTTGCTTTCACTTTAATGAGGTAAATCGACTTGTGCAAACACATTTTTCAGCCAAAAACAAACCAAAATTTTGAATTTTCATCATTTATTTTTTAATAAAAAAAAAATGACACTTAAATTCACAATTAATTTCCATTAGAGCATTAAACACTATATTTAAAGTCCCTATTCACAATAAATGTTGCAAATGTTCCCCATTTTCTTGAAAACACAGCAAAACTCTTCTTCAAACTGCATCAATGACATTGTTCAATATAACCTCATTGTTGTTTATTTCGTTGATTTTTTTCAGTTATTCTGTTCCTTAAATCTTCCAAATCATTAGCAGGAGTACAATAAATTGTGTTCTTTAAATGCGGCCAGAGAAAAAATCAGCAGGTGTAAGATTACATGATCTTGGGGGCCAGATATGTTCAGTATTTCGACTAATAACTCTTTGGTCAAAAAACTCTCGTAATGGTTGGAAAAAACCAAAAGCTAATTCATCATCATGGAGTTCTCTTCTGAATGGCCCCAAAATTTCTTCCAGATATCAAATAGAAGTTAAATTGCCTAAAAAATGATAAGTTGAGGAAGAAAGTTAAAAAACTTTGGTTTTCATTTTCTTACCATTAAAAAAGAATGGGCCTATGATGCGTCTTTGGCTAATTGCAGCCCAAACACCAATTTTTTGTGCATGAAGTGGGGCCTCAACATAAAAAGGTGGTTTCTCTTGGCTCCACATTCGCATATTTTGGGAATTAACATAACCACTCACGTGGAACCAAGCTTCATCCGTAAAAAATGTCTTCTCTAGCAGTTCATCATCAAATGTGTTCAAAAACCACTCACAGTATTCACGTCTGATTGGAAAATTCCCCTCATGTCATTCTTGCACACATTGTAATCGATAAGCAAATAATCTCAAGTCTTTTTCAATATTGTTCGGCAAGTGCACTACGCTTTAATGAATTGCAAAAATTAGCATAATCCACAATATTGTTTGAAAATTGCTCTCTAAATTCCGTCCACGTGTCAGGAATTAATATTGCCATTGTCCGTCGATTTTTTGACCATTTCGAAAGTAAGACTCAATCATAAAAGTCTTATGTTCCAATGTAAAAGCCATTTTTCATCAAGTTCTTGAATTTGTTGAAAATTTAAGCCAAAAAACGGCCCAAAATGAACACAAGTTAGTTCTGAAAAGAACTGTTTTTTTAAAAGGATTTTCAGTACGAAACACAACAAAAGCAAAAAATCATTCGTTACGGCCCTTCAGTTACTTAAAGAATTCAGAAAAAGACACAATTCAGTTCGAAAACACTTGGAAAACACAATCAACTTAACCTCAAACGTAACGAACAGTTGAACAGTGGTTCAAGTTACATCCAATATCGGTCAAGGTCTTACTGCGAATACCACAGGCGAATACATATTCAAATCATGTAAAAAATAGGGATGAATTTTAAAAACTGCAGAATTGCAAAACTGAACGATTCGGTACAATTTAAAATTTTTAGCATTCATTTTAATAAAATTTCCAAAACCCATTAATGCAGGTAAACGGCGGAACTGTAGACATCATTAATCGTCAGAATTTGGTAAGACACACGTTCCCTGTTCAAATGTTATTTCAAATGTAACTCGATTACAAATTATATTGCTCACTCGATAGTTTAGTTTTAAAAAAAGAAATAGATTTTTGGTTTTTTATCATTATTTTAATGAATTCAATTAATTCAGTGTAAATATAACTCCCATGAAGATTTTGTATTGCCAACAAATACTTGAATAACTCTTTAAGTCCTAAAAGAAGAACGAAACTGGAAGAGGCTTTTTGTCTTATCACGACCTTTTCTATTAACTAGTTAGTTAATAGAGAAGGTCGTGGTCTTATGAACATATCACAGCATAGATATCTATGCTGTGAACATATTTTGTGCCGGATAGGCAACCAGCCATACGCTAGTATCCGAACCCCCGCCAGAAGCCGCTACGCTCGCCCCACTTGCTCTCACCCGATTGGCGGACGCGCCTCCCGAAATTTTGACAAATGGCTGACATTTGACAAACGCAGTATCGCGCTTCTAGTGATGTGTAGTGAATCGTGTCCGTCAGCCTAGAAAAGCGATGACGAGATGGTGAAATGATGTGATTATGTGTGAGACTCCACCGTTGCTAGTGATAAAATCGAATTCAGCAGGCGACCTACTCGGAACTGACGCGATGACACTGATTCCAGAATCCCCCGTTTCACAATCTGTCGAACTGTCGAAACTCAAACGGACCTTCACTCTGCCCCGGAACCCTTTCAACGCCACCAGGATGTCCAAACGGAGGATAAAAACGAAAGAGAACGAGCAGGATAGCGACAACAAGAAGGTCTTCCGCCGGCCCTCGTTCCGCAGGTTGGAGCCAGCATAGTTTACTCCCGAAATTTGCAAAAATGTGCCCTTTTAGGCGTAGAACAACATAGCGTTAAGAAATGTGTAGTCACTTACGCAAGACACTTTTGCCGGTGCAACTTGAATGTTGAGCAAAGTTTGCTGCGAGGAGAATTGGATAGGAACAGAGATTGATGCTATTACGGCCCTGTGCGGCAAGATGCGAAAGTGTGACAACTTGAGATTGTTCGAGAGGTGCGTTTATCCTGGTGTAAAAATTTCGTTTGTCTAGAATAAAGTTTGATCCGCATTAAAAGGGAAAGAGTTGTGCCAATAAATTTGCCTTCCCTTGGGAAATTAGGCAACAGGAAAGTTTAACGATTAAAGGAGCGTCTTGAGAATTCTGTCTACTGTACTCTGCCAACTTTATCGAGATACATGTTTAAAGGTTGTTATAAAAGTAAGGTGTTCTTGTTGCACATAATCAACAAACGATAAAACGGTTGTTATTTGGAAAGATCCATTTCTGGCCGGTTGCTACATTTTTCGGGCTATATTCTGTAACATTTATCTCTACCCCATAACCAAAAATGTATTTAAAATAGCGCACTCTTGAGAGAAATGTGTGTTATAATTGAGACCTTTTGGACCAAGAAAAGATAAAACTGATTTGGCTCGTTAAAAAAACAGTTCTTTCCTTAAGAATCGTAGGTTGTGACACTTTCGCACCTTACTGCCACAATATTATCAGTCTTGGTCTTGTGGAATTATCCTTGTAAATAAACCATTGAAATTTCGTCGTTTTAGGAAAGGTAAATTATTTTCTTTTTGTTATGTACAATGTGACACTAATCTAGGTGTACTGTTTCCAAGGTAGCAAAAAATGCGACTTTTTTTTTTTGCTTTGAAGGGATCTTTTTTCAATAAAAAATTATGTAATATTGGTAGGGTCAACATTTCTAAGAAGTCCATTATGTAATTTGCGAGTCGATCCTGTTTTCGAGACTAACACAGTTTAAAAATAAAAGTTGACATAAATGTAAAGGTATCTTTTATAAAAGAAAAAGTATGAAATACGGAAAGCTTCCCCTAGTGGAATCGCGAGTCTTGGATTTACTACGACCACGTTATGACTTATGAACACATTGACAGATTTTTATTTTACTTTTTTTCCTGTCCAAATATTTTCGATCGACATCTGTTTATAAGCTTAGTGAAGTATTATAGGGGTAATAGTCATTTGGACGAATCTATAATTTCATGTTTCCGCAGGATGTAAAAATCCAAGTTTCCTGCTTCCGTTTGCCTGTCTGGTGAAAATGAAAAAATAAATAAATAAAAATTAACTATTAGCGTCACTATTTAATAGTTGTTATTTAATGGCTACTTTCTGTTTTCTCAACCTGTCATGACCCCTAGAACGAAAAAATAGATCTCGCATTTCCGTATCTCATTCGTCTGTGTTTTTTAGTAAACGTGATTTAAATTTTGTAAAATAACATACTCCTGTACTTGTGGTTTATGAATCCGCCTTTATTTTTTTCTCTCTTACACTATTACTGCTGTTTTCTATATATTTTATTTGTAAAGGTAATCACCAATAAAATGTCGCATAATTGAATTGCATAATTTTTCAAACAAGCCGGGTTGTTTGACTAGCGAAATAACCTTCGACTGATTTTTCTTAAAAAAAAAAACTACTTTCCTGACTGACGTTCTTTGTTCGCTAGTGCGACTTTACGTAAAATTTGGTAAAATGTTGGATTTGGGTGTTGAGACACGCATAATAAATGAAATAATTTCATCAGTCTCAAAAATAGCTCCTTCATTATTATTCACTAAATTAACGCAGTCTCATGGTCGTTGGTGTTTTGTTACAAATTACGTAAAAACATGTTTGGTGAACACAATGCAGAAAATGTTTAAGGAAATACTGGGTCACTAAAGCAAATAAAAAGTATCAATAATACTAAATATTGATTCCGTAGAGTGTTTTTTTGAGTTTTTATAAAAATAAAAATTCAGATAATTGAAAAAATATTTGTTGTTTTTTTTAAGTTGTTTTTTATTAAATATTTCATGTGATGAATACATATTTCTTTATTTATAAACCTAATTTCAATAACATTTGGACCGCGTCACTCGTTTAGGGCTACAATTTAAAATTTTTTTGAAATATACAAAGTGTTCCATTTGAATATGTGTACGTCTCTACAAAAAAAATGACAAGACACAGCTCCATTTATAAAGATAGAAATCAACATATACAGGGTGATTAAATGTGTAAATTGTTTCTAGTGTTCTATTTGAATATGTTTACATCTTTACAAAAAAATTGGTCTAAAGAGTTTAGACAGTACTTCCCTCGCTGTCGGAAATGTGACGACTGCATGTCTATTATGTTTTTTTTTCACAGTAGATTTCATTTTTTTTTTGAGTCACCCGGTATATGCAAATTCAAAAAATATGAATGGAATGATAAATTACTCGTACAAGTACAGACTCATCATATTTTGTACATATATTCTAGATAGGATTTATTCGGCAAACTTTTGAGCTGACGTCATCAGTTTTTTGTAGAAGATAACCAAATATATTTTGACTAAAAATTTATGATGCTCTTTATAACCTTAAAACATATGCAAGATTTCAAAACATTCGGTTCTGGAGCTCCTGATTAAATCAATAAAATACATTTACCCATTCATTAATTTTTTTGGGTCACCCTGTATATGCAAATCCAAAAACTATTGAATCACAAGAAAAGACTCATCATATTTTATACATTTTAGATAGGATTTATTTAGCAAAATTTTGTGGTGACGTCATAAATTTTTTAGGGGGGATGAGCAAATACATTTTGATCAAAAACTTACCATGCTTATGATAACTTTAAAACACCTTCAAGATTTCAAAGCATTCGGTTTTGTAGTTCCTGAGTTAATCAATAAAATAAATTTACGCATTCATTAATTTTTTTGAGTCACCCTGTATATGCAAATCCAAAAAATATGAATGGAGTGATAAATTACAAGTACAGACTCATCATATTTTGTACAGTTTAGATAGGATTTATTCGGCAAGCTTTAGAACTGACATCATCAATTTTTTGGAGGGGATAAGCAAAAATATTTTGATTAAACATTTATTATGCTCTTTATAACCTTAAAACATCTGCAAGATTTCAAAGCATTCGGTTTTGTAGTTCCTGATTAACTCAAAATAAATTTACGCATTTATTAATTTTTCTAAGTCACCCTGTATATGGAAATCGAAAAAATTTGAATAGAATGATAAATGACAAGAAGAGACTCACCATATTTTGTACATTTTAGATAGGATTTATTCGGCAAAATTTTGTGGTGACGTCATACATTTTTTAGGGGGGATGAGCAAATACATTTTGATCAAAAACTTACCATGCTTATGATAACTTTAAAACACCATCAAGATTTCAAAGCATTCGGTTTTGTATTTCCTGAGTAAATCAGTAAAATAAATTTACGCATTCATTAATTTTTTTGAGTCACCCTGTATATGCAAATCCAAAAAATATGAATGGAGTGATATATCACAAGCACAGACTCATCATATTTTGTACATTTTACATAGGATTTATTTGACAAACTTTTGAGCTGACGTCATCAAGTTTTTGGAGGGGATAACCAAATATATTTTGAGTAAAGATTTATGATGCTCTTTATAGCCTTAAAACATTTGCAACATTTCAGAACATTCGGATTAGCAGATTCAAAATTAAATTGCAAAATGTTGTTTTATAATTTTGATTTTTTTTTCAAAAATCTGGACGTTTCGGGTAAAAACTCAATTCGGAGTCGTAAACTACATGTTTAGGACTATATTATTTTATACAATTTAAAACCCATTTACTATGTACAATTTTGAAGTGATGTCATCACATAATTGGTGGGGATGATTAAACAAATTTTGGTTAGCGTTTTACCATCTACATAAATAATGTAAATACAAAATTTGACAAGAATCGGCCTAGTACTTGGGGGGGGGGGTCATCAGCCCCATCACTTCAAAATTGTACATAGTAAATAAGTTTCAAATCACATAGTCCGACACGTGTAGTTTATGAATCCGTGTTGCGTTTTTACCCGAAACATCACGTTTTTAGAGAAAAAAAAATTCAAAATCAAAATTGTTATAACATTTTGCAATTTAATCTTGAATCTGCAAAATCCAATACTTTAAAATCTCGGACTTCTTTTTCGTCTATTAAGGCTTAACTTTTCTTTGTTATCGGGAATAGGACTATTTCAAAAATAAAACCAGTATTTCGCTGAAGTTTTGTCTATTGACCATTGAAAATTGAGTTTTGGAAAAGATGAAACGTCGGCGAGATATTGGTTTTATTTTTGATATAGTTTTATTCCCAAAAACAAAGAAAAGTTATGGTATAAATTTTTAGTCAAGACAAAAAATTTTACCAAATAAATCCCATTTAAATACAGTCTTCATACGGTTTTTCAAGCTCCAAGTTGCATCAAGTACTGCTAATAATCGACTTTTGGTCCGGAATTTTTCAAAATATATGAAATTTTCAAATAGTATTTCGTTTGATCGGGATCTTAATTTTCTACAGAGGATGGTATTGTGCATTGTCCATAACAGCTACACTATTGCATAAGAATTTCAATACAGATTTTTTTTTTCACCTACTTTTCAAAAACGCAACGTTGTTAGTATCAGAATATTTTTGCAAAAGTGATGTGTCATTCTGCACTTCTCCGTTCAGTATTGTAATTATTATTATTTCGTTCTTGAAAAAGCAGCTTCCTTATTCGGTAATTTCTGTGGGTTGTAAATAATCAGTCACCTTGTTTGGAGTCTTGCTTATTCTATTATTACAACATTCGTATTTGTTATTTAAAAATCCAGTATTTTTTCAGAAATGTTCGTATTACTGCATTCTACGTTTACGTTTTCTCGACCTTTCATGAGTCCTACAATACGAACAAATAGATCTCTCGTTTCCGTATGTCTGTCTGTCTGTCCGTCTGTCTGCCGTCTGGATTTTTATTAGACAGATAATCTCCGAAAGTACTGGACCGATTGTTGTCAAATTTTGTATGTTTACAAAATGTATGCTCGGTGTTGAGTTTTTACCCAAAACGTCTAGATTCTTGAAAAAAAAAAAATCAAAATTGTAAAACATATATCCCTTCAGATACAGTCCATCATCGTGTCGAATAGGAAATTTTTGTCAGTCTCACACTGATATAGTTTCCGGAGTATATTGTATGTTTTTTTTGTTGTTAACTTCTCGGGATAAATATTGCCTAAAATTTCAGCTCAATCGTGACTTGCAGTAGTCACATTGCAGTCAGAGTGACTATCATCTATACTTATAGCCTAAATGTACCTTAATTTAGTCGTTTACTTATTTTCTTTAACGGCACTGTGTTCTACGCCTAAACCACCCACCCACCCTCTCCCCAAAAGCCTGCGTCGGGGTGCTAAACCATCCTTCTACCCGCAGGTTCATCAACAAGATCGCACAGCACATCGGGGGCGTGCCGGTGATCAGCGGCGACGCGCGCGTGCCCCCCGTAGGGCTGCAGACGTGGGGCCCCGAAGACACCCCGGGCGTGACGGGGCTCAAGAACCACGGCAACACCTGCTTCATCAACGCGGTGCTGCAGTGCATCTCGCACACCGACGTGCTGGCCGAGTACTTCGTGCTCGACAGGTACAAGGTGGACCTGTCGAGGCGGAACAAACTCAACTCGAAGAAGTTCGGGACCAAGGGCGAGATCACGGAGCAGCTGGCGCTGCTCCTGAAGGCGCTGTGGGCCTGCCAGTACAGCCCCGAGCTGAGCACCGGCTTCAAGCAGGCGGTGGAGCGGCACGGCTCTCAGTACAAGGGCAACCAGCAGCACGACGCGCTGGAGTTCCTGCAGTGGCTGCTGGATAAAGTGCACGAGGATCTCAATACGGCTTCCAAGAAGAAGTACAAGTTGATTAAGGTAAGAGATAGTAGTTAGGGTGACACGTGAATTGGGTTTACGTCAAATTGAGGGTTGTAATGTCAAATTTTGAATTTGAAGTTTGCTCGAGCAGACTCTGTGGTAAAGACCCTCATCAATCTGTGACAGATGACGCGGGCCGATTTCAAAATTATGTGTATTCGATGTTGTATTTCGATTAAATCATCGGTGTAGGCGATCCTTACAGATATCTTAGTAAAATTTGCTTTAGAGTACAAAAATTACGGTCTGTTCTGCGTTTGAGGATTGTCAAGATTCGACTGTGACTGTAATTTGTGGCTTTACACATTTTAGAGTCTTAATTAAAATTTTATTAGTTGTGCGTCTACCATAAATAAGGTATTCTTACGAAATAAACCCATACAATGCCCCGGTACGAGGCCTGTGGGTTTTCTAGTATGTATGGTGATAATCATCATCACCGACGGCGGCGCTTGACTAAAAAAAAGCCTGGAAGCGGAAGTCGCGATGGGCACTCCAGAACAACCTCGATCGCGAAATATCTAGAAATGTGTCTACTCGAATCGGAAGTGTTCTGTACATAATCTCTGTATAGTTCTTCGTGTGCTTTTGTATATTAATGTGAAATAAATTGTTGAGTTTTAACCACTCCGATTTTAATTACCGATCAACACTACGATAATTTGAAACATTATAGGACAATAATATAAAAAAAAGACTATTTTTGTGGTAAAATATGTATACTAAAGAAATAAATATCTGATTAAGAATACAAGACTTGTCAGTAAAATGGAATTTTTTTTCCCGCTATAATTCACAAGTATAACTCGAGTTTAATCTCGAAAAACAGACGTATGTAATTCTAGGAACATGATTTTTTACTTCCCGGGCGTAAGCTAAGGAATATTGTAAAAGTGTCCATTCGGCGAACTGCTAATTTTGTATTTTCTCGACGTTTCATAACCCCTAAAGTATGAAAAAATAGGTCTCCCGGACTGATTGTTGTGAAATGGTATATTTTAGCAATATTTTGTAGGTGCTAAAACGTTAACCAAAATCTATCTAATCATCCCCACTAACAGTTTGGTGACTCACATCAAAATATTACACAATAATACCTGGGGCATATGAGTCTGCCTTAATTTTTTACGTTCGACATATAGATTTTTGAAAATTTCAAATCCAAATTGTTTTACAATTTAGCTCAAAAACTGGAAAATCCAGTGCTCTCAAATTTTGCAACGGTCGTTGTGCATGGTAAATCGCTAATCAAAATGTAACTAATACCGGAAATAAGCTTATCCAGTTACAAAATTCGATAAGTGATGAAATGATGACATCTATTGGAATTTACGATATTCCTTTATTTCGTGATATCTTTTTGTTACTTAGAACTCATTTATTTACTTTCTACTTATTTGTAAATTGTCTCGACATATATCTTTTATTTGATAAAATTAAATTGTGGGTATGTGTTGAAAATACGATTCATTCAGAAATCTTCGAAAGTCTTATGTATGTAATTTAAATTATGGATTTTAGTGATTAATTAAATATTCTGAATTCTGATTTACGACTAAATCCTTCTTTCAATTTGAGAAATATTTGTTGTGTTTTTTTTTTTTGTATTGGACCAAACAATTGTAATTGTTAAATATTTAGCTATTAATATTGTTACGTAAAATAAACCCATACGCGGCCCCGGTACGACGCCTATGGGTTCTCGTATGTACATCGCCGATGACTCATTGTCGGCGACGGCGGCCGGAGAAAAGCCTGGAAGCGGAAGTCGCGAATGGGTGCTCCAGAGAAGTCTAGAAGCGGTGACGTAGGCGTTTCGAGCAGGACCGCGGGCTGTTTAAATGGGAACCACCGTCGGGAGCAGTTAGTGTAGTCCAGGCAACGAGAGTTGAATTCAGTTACCAAATCGAGTCCAGCGAATGTCGAGAAAACCCAGTGAAGTTGCCCCGGGATTGTTTTGTACATAATCGTGTAAATCCGAGTTATTAAGAAATACATTGTTGAGTTTAACTCACGCCGATTTTAATTCACCGAGAAACGTAAGAATATTTTAATAATAATTCGCTTGATTACGATTCACGAAAGCCTTTTAGACTATTTTTATTGGAATTTTAGACTGTCAATTAAATTCACATTAAAAATATTGGTACATACTACAAAGTTAATTCTTCAAATTTGAAATTTTATGTTTTCGAACTTTTGATTCAGGGATTTTTCTAATTTTTACTTCCCGGGCGTAAGGAAAGGAAGTATTGTAATCGAGTCCGTCGGCCGACTCTCTACTTTTGCATTCTCTCGACGTATCATGACTCCTAGAGGACGAAGAAATAGGTCTGTCGTTTCCGTCTGTCTGCCGTCCTGGATTTTTATTAGACAGATAATCTCCGAAAGTACTGGACCAATTATTGTCAAATTTTATATTTATATTAAGTATATCATGTAGATGGTAAAACGCTAACCAAAATTTGACTAATCATCCCCACCAGTAATGTGATGACGTCACTTCAAAATTGTACATAGTAATTGGGTTTTAAATAACATAGTCTTACACATGTAGTTTAGGACTCCGAATTGAGATTTCACCCGAAACGTCCAGATTTTTGAAAAAAAAGATCAAAATTAGAAAACATTTTAATATTTAATTTGGAATCTACAAAACCGAATGCTTTGAAATCTTGCAGTTGGTTTACAGTTATGATAAGCATGATAAAATTTTGATCACAATATAATTACTTATCCCCTCCAAAAAATTGATCACGTCAGCTCAAAAGTTTGCCAAATAAATCTTATCTAAAATGTACAAAATATGATGAGTCTGTTCTTGTGATTTATCTTTCCGTTCATATTTTTTGGATTTGCATATACAGGCTGACTCAAAAAAATTAATGAACCCGTCAATGTATTTTATTGATTAAATCAGAAACTACAAAACCAAATGTTTTGAAATCTTGGAGACAATTTAAAGTTATCATAAGCATGGTAAATTTTTTATCAAAATGGATTTGCTCATTCCCCCTAAAAAGTTGATTACGTCACCTCAAAATTTTGCTGAATAAACCCTATCTAAAATGTACAAAATATGATCAGTCTGTACTTGTGATTTATCATTCCATTCATATTTTTTGAATTCACATATACAGGGTGACTCAAAAAAATTAATGAATGCATGAATTAATTTTATTGATTTAATCAGGAACTACAAAACCGAATGCTTTGAAATCTTGGAGATGTTTTAAAGTTATCATAGGCATATTAAATTTTTGGTCAAAATGTATTTGCTCATCCCCCCTAAAAAATTGATGACGTCACCTCAAAATTTTGCTGAATAAATCCTATCTTAAATGTGCAAAACATGATGAGTCCGTAGTTGTGATTTATCATTCCATTCATTTTTTTTGGATTTGCATATACAGGGTGAATCAAAAAAATTATTGAATGCGTGAATTTATTCTACTGATTTAATCAGGAACTACAAAACCGAATGCTTTGAAATCTTTTAGATGTTTTAAAGTTATCATAAGCATATTCAATTTTTAGTCAAAATATATTTGTTCATCCCCCCTAAAGAATTGATGACGTCATCTCAAAATTTTGCTGAATAAATCCTATCTTAAATTTGCAAAATCTGATGAGTCTGTAGTTGTAATTTACCATACCACTCATATTTTTTGGATTTGCATATACAGGGTGATTAAAAAAAATGAATGAATGCTTGAATTTATTCAAATGGATTTAATCAGGAATACAAAACCGAATGATTTGAACTCTTGGAGATGTTTTAAAGTTATCATAGTCATGGTAAATTTTTAGTTAAAATGTATTTGCTCCTCCCCCCCTAAAAAATTGATGACGTCACCTCAAAATTTTGCTGAATAAATGCAACAAAAAACCATAATAGGCATGCAGTCGTTACGTTTCCAACACCGTGGGAAGTACTGCCTAAACTCTTTAGACCATTTTTTTTTTTGAGTTCTCCAGACGCTTCTTAACAACTTGCATTGAGTTTATCCGTCATTTTTTGCTCACGCTGTATAGTAAATAAAAAGTAATTAGTTTAATCATAGTTAAAATCCAGGCGTTGTGTAACAATTTTTTACATACTGGTTTAAAATTAAATATCTACTCGTTACCACTTAAAGCCAAAGCAATAATGATAATAATAACAATTTGATATTTTCTCGACGTTCCTATCATCACTAGAGTATGAAAAACGGGGTTTTCCGTTTCCACCTGCCTATCTGTCTGTATGCATGTCCGTCTGTATCGATGTGTATTAGACAGATAATCTCAGAAACTACTGGATCGATTGTTGACACACTTTACATATTTTAGGAATATCATGGAGATAGTAAAACGCAACCAAAAGTAGTAAATGTTATTTAAGTTTTATAAAATATTTTTTTTTTACTTATGAAAAACAAAGTCCCCCGTTTCCGTCTGTCGGTCTGTGGTCAGTGTGTTTATTTATTACACAGATAATTTCCGAAACTACTGGAACGATTGTTGTCAACTTGTATATGTATTTTAGGAATTTCGTGTAGAGGATAAAACACAAACGAAAATTTGTCTAATCGTCCCCATCGACAATGCATAAAACAAAATTTTGCATAATTATTTTAATATAAAATAACATTTTTATATTTATGATTTATGAATCCGCCTTTATTTGTTACCCTGGACATCCAGATTTTGATAGCTTAATTTCATGTGTGTATAAATGGCGTACTTTGTAAATATTGAACGCCGTATTTTAGTATTGTACTATTTACATATATACATTTTTTTATTTATATGGATTAGAAAATAAATGAAATAAAAAAAAATCAGATTCTATAATCTTTCGAAGACCCTGGCTTTGGTAGACTGTATTTCAGGGATGAAGGGAATTGTGTATAAATAACCTTTTTAGATTTTTTTTAAAGCAGAAAGGGGAGGTTACAGTTGTAAATAACAACTGATCTACATATAAAAACTGATTTAATATTACAATTCACGAA